AATAGAAATTTTTTAATAGAAATCTAATTTTTCAAATACATATGTATTATAAAATTTATATGTATTATTATTTATTATAATTATTAAAACAATATTTAAATAATAATAAAAATAACATTATTAAATTGAATCTTTTTATACTGAAATTATATTGAAATATTGTCAAATAGTTATTATTTTATTTCCAAATCAAAATTATCGTGATAAATATAGCAAGATATTATATGTAAATTAAAAATATTTCTCTTTTATATAATAAAAATATATAATCAATCAACCAATTATCATTCCCATCGTTAAATAAGTATAAATAATATTAAAATAAATATAGTATATATAATATACAATATTATGTCGCTTTTAATATAATTTAATGTAATTTATACAATTATGTATCAATTTTACGAATTAATTTAAGAATTTTGTCGTATTCATTATTTAATGTGCTATCTTTTTATTAAAAAAAAAAAAAAAATTCTTTACATCCAAATTCCTTTAAATACTTTTAAATCGCAAAAATCAATCCGAATTATTTTTAAAATTAAAAGAAAATCAAACACATGACATATATATAATTATGAACNTAAAAAAAAATATAAACATAATATATATTCGCGCATATGTATGTGTACATATAAGCACGCATAAAATTGTTCAAAAAAGAAAGTAGAGAGCAAAAAACTATTCTTCAAAACAATTAATATAAGTGAAACAAATTATTTAGAAAATGTATATATATTTAATATATATATATTAAAAATATATATATTAAATATATATATTATATATATAAAAATATATATATTAAATATATATATATTAAAGAATAAAGAAAAGATACGTAAGAAGGTACATAAAATACATAAAAAATGTTTATCACAAATTTTCGAATATTTTTCACTATTCTAAAACACCTGATATATTTTTATTAACAATTCTTTTTTCTATATTTTATATTTTGTTTTTTCAATAGTATGCCATTCTGTATCAAATTAATTAAATAGACCGAATTATGTCAAGATTAGTGGAATCGATCAGTTATATGAATCGTAAGTCACATGAAATTGTAAGTTATTCTGATCAACTTACATTGAATAAGTTAATTTCCTGTTCTTCTCGCTCCGATGTTGAAAATTGGAAAAATAAAGTGAACGGCAGACTCGAAGACACGAAGAGCAGACCGGGACGCGTAACACGTGACACATGATCGAGATACTATGTTTGCGAACAGTTCGTTGCCGATTATGGCAAACTACAAGGCAACAAGAACCGGTCTTTCATGGCATGGCATGAACAACGTTTCTCGACGTTACGTATTTTTTTCGCGTGCACGAATGCCGTAGCGAAATCCGTAAGATCTTGGAAACCATAGCGAAAGTTTCACAGGCATGTAAAACATGCTTGGACCGAGCTCCAAGTATGAATCGCTGTGGGCGTTAATCATGCAAACCAAAGTAAGGCGTGTCGCGAATGAAATGATGCATTACCGAAGGTATAGAAGATATTAGTGGATTAATGGTTGCTTACCTTCGTCTAGTAGGCGCTCTACATGTATGAAGACATTAGGGAAAGCAGCTAACTGCTTTCGATCTTTTAGTAACTGTGACAGGTAGTCCGCTATACTCTGCGTCGTCGTGTTAGTATTATCACACATCGCAATTACTTGATTACTCCTATGGCGGTCACGCGAAAATAGAAAAAGATACAAAAACAAAAAGGTATTGCAAAGAAAGGGAAACGAAAAGAAAAAGTGAACGTTAAACGTAAACGAGCAAGAGACAGACGACGTTGCGATTAAGATCCAAAACAGTAGCAATCCTTCCACGTTTAGTTTTGCACAACGATAACGCTTTTTTTTCGTTATTCACTATTATATCACTTTACTCTTTTATTTTTCTTGCACAATTATATCTCATAATTAATACAACTTGCTGTTCGTACGTCGCGCCTTCTCACTCGTGTTTTCTCTGGCGCGCTCCTCGCATACGTCGCCACGATTGCGTTACGTTTTTAGAAATAGCGGAGTCAGTATACTATGTGTAAGGAGGAGAAGGAGGAAGAGGAAAAGGAGGATGAGGAGGAGGGGAAGAAAAATATATAAGAGCGACAGAAACAGGCAAGATAGTAAGAGGAAAAAAGAGGGAGCACGAGAGAGAGCGATGTTCAAAATAAGAGAGAAGCAAAGAAGCAAGGGGGGATATGGAGGAGAAGAAGGAAGAAGAGGAGGAGGAGAAGGAAGAGGAGGAAGAGGAGGAGGAGGTGGAGAAGGAGAAGAAGGAAAGGAGAGGAGAAGGGGAAAAGAAAAAGAACGAAAGAGGGGGAAAGAGAAAAAGCGAAAAAAAATAGAGGAAGGGAAAGGCAGGAAAATTAGACACTAAAAGAAAGAGAGAGGAGAGAAAGAGAAAAAGAGGGGGAAAGAAAAAGAGAGAGAAAGAATACAGCCTCTTTCACAAGTTGGATTCTGTTAAGGTTAAAAAGTTAGATCGTAGATCACGAAATTAAAAACAAACACACGCTACGGGATTCTCGGCTCTACTGCACTATCCGTGCATGTGCTGCGACGAACTACCCGTAGATTCTTGAGTTTAGACGCATGCGCACCATTCGTTTTGCGCATATGTTCTGCGCGCATTGGTTCTTGCGTACCTCTATCGGCGCGCTTCTACCGCCCACTACCATATACGGCCTCTGCGTACGCGCGAGTACTGAGGTACGCGCCATACCATCGTCGCATACAAGTTGGATAATTCAGGGTCGTAGTTATCTAGTAATGTACCCTGTATCTTATAATCCTCATGATTCATGATTCGATAGATATTTCGTAAAACTCTTTTTGTTAACGGAACATCGCGAAATATACATTCATATATTCTATCGTGTGAAGAATCATTAGATTGAAGGATGTTTATCTACATATAATCAATCTATTATATAAAGTTTCTTCATTTAATTATTATATATTTGATATAAGAAAATAAACTGAACGTTTTTAATAAGTTTCTAATTCAATTTTTAAACATATATTGAATTTACCTTTCTTTAATAGTTTTCTTTCTAATTTGTCATTTATGACTGATTTTTATAATTTCGATGAAATTAACTGATCATCTAACGAAACACATGTAATGCTTTAAATAAACTGCAAACTAAATATAGATTTCGACTTTAACTCGATATTTTAGAGTCAGTTGAAAATCATTTTGTATACAAAACTTTATAAATGAATAAAATTCCATAAAATAATCTCAAAATAATTGTTGTAATATTTATTATAAATAGTTTTTTAATTTATGATAGCATAAAAACTTTTAATTTAAATATTTATTTTATTTATNATATAATATGTATGAATATTAATCTATATAGTTATTTATTTTAATTTCTTTTTCTTAAATCTATATTATGTAAATTATAATAAAAATATTATATATAAAAAAATATTATAAATAAAATATAAATTTATTTTATATTTATTTATAAATCTTTATTTTACATTTTGTGTATATTATCTATTTATAAAAAAAATAAATTGTTAATTGCATTAAAAAAATTTTTAATTGATCACATAACATGAATGTAGGATTTATTTTAGCATACGAAATATTTCTGATTATGATATTACGAAGTATCAACGCATTTAACTATATTATAATCTCGCAGCAGTATACTTTAGAATGTATAATTAATGTACTACCTACTTTCAATTTGCAACCACACAAAATGTCATATCATACATATTCAAATTATGAATTAATTAATTAATATCGCATAAGAGATATGATAGTCATTAATAAATTGCTATATATAATTTTTTGAATTAAGTATATTTTTATTGTATAAAAAAATCAATTATGAAATTTATATTTAAAGAAAATATATCTCAAAATATATTATAATCAAAACATTATTTATTTGTTTATATTTTTTTATTGATATTCTCCTTTTAATTTTTTATGAAATGAATACATATTAAATTAAAATTCTTAATTCTTAATATTTTTTTAAAATATTATTTAAAAATGATAATTTGTCGATTGTGAATAAAGATTTTAAGAAAATTTTGTATTTTGATTTTTAAAATTTTTATGAAATTATTTTTAATATATAAACTGTAATTTATATAACAAAATTCTAATTTTTTACTAATATATTGTTTCATGTTTATTTTATATGCATTTATTTACAGTATCTTCTAATTATAATATCGGATTGAATATATAATATATATATAATATTCATATAATATATAATACATATAATAAATAAATCTTATAAATGATCATCGAATCATCATTATTATTTTTCTTGAATGAAACTGATTTTAATATCTATATTTTAATATCTATCATATTTTGTTTATTTTATATTTTATTAATTATTTAAATGTTAATTTTATCAAATAATTTCATTGAACATTATGATCACGATTTTCTATCATAAATTATGATACATTATATATTTTTATTTCATTGATACAACAAGATGATTATTTTCATTTTAAGTTTTTATATATCATTTAACTTATCGTAAATGGAATTCATTCATCAATTTTCTTTGCTTTTCCAGTTTTCATTATCTCAAACGACAAATTATTTTCATTTAAAACATTGTAACTCTTATTATTTTTAATTCTAATAGATTATTTTCTTAAGTAGTATTTTTTTAATTCTTAAATAACAAATCCTGGCTTAATAAAGAATAATCAATTAAAAAATTTTAAAAATTTTGTTTTCAAGTATTTTGATTAATAATTCAATAATATAATAATAATCCAATATATAATAATAAATAATATGCAATTTTTAAAAAAAAATTATTTTTGAAATAGTTAATATGTTATGATCCACGATCAATAAAATAAATGTTTCATTCGTCTGAGACAGCATTAGTTTTCCAAAGGTGAAAACATTATTAATAATATTTTCAGATCATCTGATTTCATCATTTTAAAAGAAAAAATCATCAATTTTAAAAAAATCTCAATTTTATGATTTTATTTTAAAA